ATTAAACTTTGTTTGATTTCAACAAAAATTGAATATATGGGGTTCTTTGATATGCTGAATCTTACCATGTATTTAGATTTTTTATTTGTGGGCCCGCTATCAAATTGGTTCATATTGAGGTCAAAAGGGTCCAAAATTAAACTTTGTTTGATTTCATCAAAAATTTAATTATTGGGGTTCATGATATGCCAAATCTAACCGTGTATTTAGATTTTTAATTTTGGGTCCCGTTTTTTAAATTGGTCTACATTAAGGTCCAAAGGGTCCAAAATTAAACTTAGTTTGATTTTAACAAAAATTGAATTTTTGGGGTTCTTTGATATGCTGAATCTAAACATGTGATAGATTTTTGATTATGGGACCAGTTTTCAAGTTGGTCCAAGTTGGGGTCCAAAATTAAACTTTGTTTGATTTCAACAAAAATTGAATATATGGGGTTCTTTGGTATGCTGAATCTAAACATGTATTTAGATTTTAGATTTTTGGCCCAGTTTTCAAGTTGGTCCAAATTTGGGTCCAAAATTAAACTTTGTTTGATTTCAACAAAAATTGAATATATGGGGTTCTTTGATATGCTGAATCTTACCATGTATTTAGATTTTTTATTTTGTGGGCCTGCTATCAAATTGGTTCATATTGAGGTCAAAAGGGTCCAAAATTAAACTTTGTTTGATTTCATCAAAAATTGAATTATTGGGGTTCTTTGATATGCCAAATCTAACCGTGTTTTTAGATTTTTAATTTTGGGTCCCGTTTTTTAAATTGGTCTACATTAAGGTCCAAAGGGTCCAAAATTAAACTTAGTTGGATTTTAACAAAAATTGAATTCTTGGGGTACTTTGATATGCTGAATCTAAACATGTGTTTAGATTTTTGATTATGGGACCAGTTTTCAAGTTTGTCCAAGTTGGGGTCCAAATTTAAACTTTGTTTGATTTCAACAAAAATTGAATATATGGGGTTCTTTGATATGCTGAATCTAACCATGTATTTTGATTTTGGACATTGGACCATAATAGGTAAATTAAAAAAATTGAAGTTCTTAGACCACATTCTTTCTGTGTCAGAAACCTATGCTGTGTCAAATATTTGATCACAATCCAAATTCAGAGCTGTATCAAGCTTGAATGTTGTGTCCATACTTGCCCCAACTGTTCAGGGTTCGACCTCTGCGGTCGTATCAAGCTGCGCCCAGCGAAGCATTTTATTCCATTTGTAAAGGGACATAACTCTAGAACGGTAAAGTGACTAGATTGCATTGTTGACATTTTCCTGAAAATTGGAACAAATAATTTTCATGCGTAATCAAATCAAATGTCATTTTAAAAAAGAGGGGTCCATGAACTTTTTACAAGTTAAATCAGTTTGAATGATAAAAATCAGTCGAAAAATGCATCTTTTTCCGATATGTCACAGTTTGACGTCGCGAAAATAACATTTTACTTTAGCAACGTCATTACCTCCCCTGTAACTATATTGTTTGCCCTTAATTGAGCTGCTGTCACTGTATCAGTAACACCTATATATCTAGCTTCCAATATTGATGGCATCAAAGATACAAAAAGAGAAAACAATCAGTAATACACAATTGTATGCTTCATTAATAAATGTTGATATCTTTTTCTAGTATTTTTCTCTTAAAAAATTGCCATTGAATTCATAATACTCAAAGCTAAAAAAAATAAATGTGGATAGTGTCCACATGTGGACAAGGATGATGCCCCCGCTTGCATATCATATAGTTATAAAGGGACATAACTGAAGAACGGTAAAAGTGATGCTACCCAAATTTGAACTTGATCTGAGTTTTGTGGTAAAAAGCATTGTGTTAGTCTTATTTGGTTGAGGCTAACTTAAGTAGAGAACAGAAACTAAAAATTCAGCAATTTTTCTATTTGTAAATACGCATAATACTCTAGAACGGTTGTGTATAAGTTTTATAACATTTGGTTGAGACAAACTAAAGTTAGAGAACGGAAACGAAAAATTCAGCAATTTTTATGTTTATAAAGGGACATAACTCAAGAATGGTAAAAGTGTTGCCACTATGTTTATAAAGGGACATAACTCAAGAATGGTAAAAGTGTTGCCACCAAATTTCGTACTTAATCTGTATTATGTATTAATAAGCATTGTGTATAAGTTTCATAACATTTGGTTGAGGCAAGCTAAAGTAAAAAAATTAAACTGAGTTTTGTGGTAAAAAGCATTATATATACATTTCATTACATTAATTTAAGACAAACTCAAGTTAGAGAATGGAAACGAAAAATTCAGCATTTTTTTCATTTGTAAATGGGCATAACTCTAGAACAGTAATCAAAGTGCTTGTAAGCACTGAATGGTAAATATTGCTTTATAACAGAACCAAACTTGCTATTCTGACTTCAGCATCACTTTATTTCATTCTATGATCTATTTCAAGCAATAAAAAACACATAAAGCTTAAGTCCAAATACTATTTTACTAATTTTAAGCTCCAATTGGACTGGTAGTAACATATATGTTATTCAAAGAAAACTGCATATGGATATTATAAACGGCCAATATACTTATTTTATTCTCAATATCATTGTTGTATTTAATAATTTCTGTTAGGAAAACAATGTGCTTACCAAAAGTCATATTTCACCAGATTTTGTTCATTTAATAAAAATATATTAGACCAAATCTAAGATATAATTGAGAAAATTGTCCCCCCTTTTTTCTTCAAATTGAAAAAGGGACATTTTTGGTATAAACCATACTTCTGTGGTACAACATAGATTATAAAGAGCAATTTATATATTTTTCAGCTGGATAACTTGCTAAACTGGTTCAAAATTGCATGTACAGTGATATTTTGGAATTCTTATATGAGTATATACAATTGCCTAGATTGTAAAAGGCTATCATAAGAAAACCAATAAAACTTGAAAAATCATAGGATTATTTGACCAAGAGCTATTTTTTTACCATAAACAAGTCATTATATACATGTTTTATTGATTGCAATCCCAAATAATGCAAAAATAAGAATTTGGAGTCAAGTCTTAACTGCATGCATGTTGTTTGACCATAAAAGGCTAAAATACCTGATTATGTCAATTTAAGAGCTGAAATTTCCCATAAACAGAATTGTTCATCCAAAAAAGATGATTAAACATGTTTACTTACATCAAATATAACTTATTTTCATTGGAATAGGTACAACTTCTAAAAATTGAATTTCTGATGATTCTCTGTAATAGGAAGTACACCACTAATTCAAGGCCCCGTTGCTTTCTATATTAAATTCCTCAATTTCAAGCAGACACAGCTCTTTTGTTTCAAGTTCAAATAAAGTGACAATCATTGCATGTCAAAGCAACACTTTATGGTGTCTTGTACTGGAAAAATCAACATACCTTTAATGGCATGTAAGAAAGAACTGGTTCCTGGAACTTCGGATGTACCAAAACAGGTACTTCAGATCTGACATACAGGCAAAAAGTACCCTCTTTATAAAATTTGGTGCAGTTTTTTTAATATTCAAAATTATAAGTCAAAAAGTGTTCTACAATGATCACCAGTCATTCAGCTTTCATTTGATACCAACCATACCTAAATATTCTACATATTTTGAAAGTTACACTCATGTGTAGGAACTGTGTCTGCTTAAAATTGAATATTGCATTGTATAAAGCATTGGTTGTAGTTGATTCAACTACCATTATGCAGAAAGAAAGATAACACCAATTTTCAAAGAAGACTTTAAAATATTTTTAGAAATGAAGGGTAAAAATTGCTTTAATTTATCAGTGGAAGGTCAAATTAAACATTGTATTGTATTAAGCATTGATTGTAGTTGATTCAACCATAATCATGAACAAAGAAAGATAACTCCAATTTTAAAAATACTTGATATTTAGGGAAAAAAATGAAAAATTCAGCAATTTTTCCATTTGTAAAGGGCATAACTCTAGAACAGTAAAAGTGACGGCACCAAAATTCAAACTTTATCTGTATATTGTGGTAATAAGCATTGTGTATAAGATTCATAACATTTGGTTGAGGCAAACTTTAGTTATAGAACGGAAACGAAAAATTTTGCAATTTTTCCATTTGTAAAGGGGCATAACTCTAGAACGGTAAAAGTGACACCACCAAAATTCTAACTTGATCTGTATTTAGTGGTAATAAGCATTGTGTATAAGTTTCATAACATTTGGTTGAGGCAAACTAAAGTAAGAGAACGGAAACCAACTTTGGGACGTACAGACGGACGGACGGACGTACAGACGGACAAGGGTAAAACTTAATGCCCCCTCAGCTACGGCAGGGGCATAAAAAAAGGAAATAAATGTGGATAGTGTCCACATGTAGACACAGATGATGCCCCTGCTTGCATATCATATAGTTATAAAGGGACATAACTGAAGAACGGTTAAAGTGACACTACCCAAATTCAACTTGATCTGTGTTTTATCAGTGGAAGTCAAAATTAAACATTGCATTGCATAAAGCATTGATTGTAGTTGATTCAACTATAATCATGGACAAAGGAAGATAACTCCAATTTTAAAAATTACTTGATAATTAGAAGAAAATAAAAATTTTGCAATTTTTCCATTTCTAAAGGGGCATAACTCTAGAAAGGTAAAAGTGACCCCACCAAAATTCAAACTTGATCTGTGTTTTGTGGTAATAAGCATTGTGTATAAGTTTCATAACATTTGGTTGAGGCAAACTAAAGTTAGAGAACAGAAATAATAAATTCAGCAATTTTCCATTTGTAAAGGGGCATAACTCTAGAACGGTAAAAGTGACGCCACCAAAATTCAATCTTGATCTGTGTTTTGTGGTAATAAGCATTGTTTATAAGTTTCATAACATTTGGTTGAGGCAAACTAAAGTTAGAGAACGGAAACCAATTTTGGAACGTACGTACGTACGGACGGACAAGGGTAAAACTTAATGCCCCCTCCCCAACGGCGGGGGCATAAAAATGAAGTCTTCAGCACAAAATCGATATTTTTTACCTGCTCTCTTAACAAATCCAAGTGTCATTCCTTGTTTTCCTAGCTCTTTGTCTATTTCTTTACATTTATCTTCAAGAAAACCATCAAACTGAGTCCTGCTTTTTATATATATTCGAAGAATCTGCAAGTAAGGATTCGTTTGATCTTCATATACAACCTCTTTAATTACTTTTATGTCTTGTGCAATATGCTTCATTCTGTTGTCTGAAAAAAAAAAACCACACACACACAAGGAAGTCAATGAAGTATTAAATATAGGTCATATTATAAACTAATTTACAGTTTATTTGCCTGCCCGAAATCAGGAGCCTGTAATTCAGTTGTTTGAGTTTGTAACATATTTTTCTTGTTTATAATTGTATTTAGCTTAAATTAGGCCATTGAACTTGTCTTTCTACTTGTTTCTATTTCTAGATCTGTCATGCTTCGGGGTTTTACAGTTTACTGTAGTTTGGGTTATGTTTATTAGTGAAGGCTGTACAGTGACCTACAGTAGTTTACACCCTTGTCAAGTCTTCACTAGTATATAGTTGTCTCATATCACATCTCTTCATTTTTATATACTTTTAATTGTTTAAGTGGTGATCATACGGCAGGGTAAAATATAGTGGTTACCTCCAGATTTCACAGTTGTCTTTCAAAAAGTATCAATATATCGTGTGGTTATCTTTAATGTCAATATATTTGTATACTTTTGTCATATGCTGCTCTTATCCTAAGAATTCATCATTAAATCAAATTATTCCTTAGCAGGTCACTCAGTATCTGAGATCTAAACTCAGTAGTGGTAGCTTTGATAACCTCAATTGTGTAAAGAAATTGATAAACTACAGGAAAGACTGAGTTCATGGAAAACTGAATTTGAAACATTTCAAAGGAGAGAACCAACAGTCTAATTCAAGCTTATAACATTAATCTAAAATAATTATGGAAGACATCATCGACTGCAGACTTTTGGCTTGGGATACACACATAATGAGTTGGGGTAAAATATGTTTGTACTTAGTTCTTTACCCTCCACCTTTACTTAGATAGTGGTGTAACAGTACAATATTTGAACAAACTTTACAACAAATATGTTTGCATTGGACACCATATGCATGCCCAACTCAAACTATCACATTTCCATAATCAATAAACTACAAATCTGCTTCAAAACCATTATTTGGCATTTCACTTCATAACAAATGTTAACAATAAATGACAGGTTGATGTGACCACAAACTACCAGAAATCAGATATGGACAGACAGGTCGCACAGACTGGAAAATGTTATGCTCACTCTACTATTGTAGATAAAGCATAAAATTTAGTTCAAATATACTGTCTCTGTTCCACATTTACAATTTTATTTTATTAGTTGTAATTGGTTTTGAACTAGCTTTCAGTAGCTCTAAGATGCCTTTTGTCTCCAATGTTCATTTGAAAAGTCAATCCCTTTTCAACTCATTTTTACAGTTTGTTCTTATATTGTGCTGTTACACCACTGTCCCAGGTTAGAGAAGGGTTGAGTGCTTACAAACATGTTTAATACCTGCACACAATTATGTGCCTGGTCCAAGTTAGGAGCCTGTAATTCAGTGGTTGTTGTTGGTTGCTGTCTTTCAAATTATTTTTATTTTATGGTATAACAATTTTTCTTTATTTTTCAGATTGCCTGTTACAACTTTACTTCACTGTCCAAGCTCATATAAAGTATCCCTGTGAAATGTTTTCCAAGCATCCAGGAAAATACTCAGAATATATTAAAATATAGTTTTTGTTTCTCTATTACATCAATCAATCTTTTTAAATTTTATGAAAAAGGTATTTTAAGATACTGTTTTGTTCTCATTCATAACCCTTTGCAGTTCTTTTATAAACATATTATACATATCTAAGAATTTTTGTTTGGAAACATAGGACTTATAATTACAAAAACCTAAAACTGTCAAAAAATAGTTAAAATCATAATACCCATGATTTGATATTTTGTACCAAAATACTACCGTACAGCGGGTTATTTTCGAGGTTGTAAAATTTCGCGATTTAGGGGCAACAAAGTATACGAAAAATTTTGGCAGATTCTTTAATCCCAATTTAATATTTTGGCGGATATTAATATGGTTGCAGTTAAAAAGTGGTAAAAATTGACAAACAAGTGTCTATTGTTATGGTTAAATGATAGTTTTACCTGCATGAAGTCTTAATTTATTGATTATATTTTGTTACAGTTAATCAATAAATACCAGAACTTAGATATTTGTCACAGGTGTACATACTTTTGTTAATGTTACGATTGATTAGTCCAGAAATTTACTACAACTTTAATGTACTAATTAGATTATAAAATGATCATAAGTGACTTGCAACTCTTATATAATTTGACACTATTTAATAAGGATGAAATACCCCACAAAGTACCTTACACTCTTTTATTATTAATTATTTAATTATGTAACCAATTAACTAATTAAGACCTGACAGCCAGTGAACAATGGCCTTTTGCATTTATGTTGTTTAAATTAACATAAACCATTATTGATCCGACGAACAGGAAAAAATAGATAGTTTACAAAACGTTTTAGTTATTAGAAAGTACTGAACATGTGCAAAAATTTTCGCGGAATTTAATTTCGCGATTTCCACATATCCGCCAAAATAAGTGAAAAAGTTCCATTATGATATCACCCAGAAGAACTAAGACTTAACCTCACTGGGAAACTAGAGAATGTTTGGTTTTACAACTGTAGTGTTTATGGGAAGCTCCAGAATAGTAAAAATGGTAACCAAAGAATAAAGTTTGACTTGTTTGACAATTATATAGAAGAGAAAATTAGGAAGAAAATAGCTTCATGAAAAACTAACTAATTGTTCTGAGATACTGATCTTAAGAAGGGAGATAACTCTAACTTTTTTTAAAATTTGTAAAAATGTTTGTCTCATCTGTTTAATGTTACCTTTCCATTCCATTGTATATTTGCATAGTTGGAAGTTTTGATGATAATTAGGGAGATAATTCAAAATATTTTTCAATTTGCTAGTACTTTAATACAAGCAGTAATATATATCGCAGCAGGCTATTTTCAAAGCAGTGAAAGAAGATAACATACAGGTGTTTGACCCTTCAATTCAAGTTACTTTTGTCAGGCTACACCTCTGTGACTTAAATAAAAAAATAAGCAATCAATACATTCTTTGCTTTAAATCACTTTTAGACTACAAAAAAAATTTAACTTCAAGTAAGATAATCTTCAAGTCTTTGTTGATACATTTTTTTGTTTTTTGTTTATTTTTAAATATTGTTCATAGTTTACGCCAATACTGTGAAACTAATCTGATGTGTTTTGTACATTATCACCAGTGTCATTTTATTGTATGTGTGTTGTGTGTATGCATGATTACAATATGTACTTTCTTACTGTTTTACAATGAACTTATTTGCTCTCTGGTTTATGTACTATCTTTTATACATACATAACCTATGAGAATATATAATAATATTACTATACTATCTAGGAATGTAAGGGGTTTATTTTCTAATAAGAAGAAAAGATTGGATGTCTTTGATTGGGCAAAGGGCAAACATGCTTCAATTGTATGTTTTCAAGAAACACATAGCAGTAAAGATGTTGAAAAATTATTGGAAAAAGAATGGGGCAATACTTGCATCTTTTGTCATCATAACAATAGAAGTGCTGGAGTTAGTATCATGTATAAAAAGGGGTTAGATTTTACTATTCATGACACTAAATTTGACCAGAATGTTATTGATATCACTTTATTTGAACAGAGATTGACTTTAGTATGTCTATAAGGATATAATATGGATGAACCATTATTGTTTGATGATATATTATATAAAATAGCATTGTATGCTAATACTAGTATATTATTATGTGGTGATTGGAATGTTGTCCAGGACTGCAATCTAGATATACATATAACATTTTACATAAAAGAAATCCCAAATCTCGTGAAAAGATTGAAGAAATTATTGAAAAATTAGAATTATTGGATCCTTGGCGAACATGCAACCCTACTGACAAAAAATTTACTAGGTATCAACCATCTCCTATTAAACAAAGTCAACTAGGCTATTTCTTAGTCACTGAGGACATATATTCTCTTATGAAAAACACAAAAATTATACCTGGTTATCAGACTGATCATTCTGCCAGTCTTGCTAAGTGGGGAAAGGGTTATTTTGGAAATTTAATTCACAACTTGTAAGAGATGTTGAGTATGTTGAAAAAATTAAGACATGTATAAAAGACACTATTTCAGAGTATTATCTTTCAGGTGACATTCAAAATTGTCTCGATGTTAAACTTACATGTAATGACTAATTATTTTTTGAAATCCTGAAGATGAAGATCAGGACTTTGTCCATTTCTTATAGTATTGAAAAAAACAGAGAGGATAGAGAACATACATCTAAGCTTGAAAAAGAGGTTGAACAATTAGAAAATATTATGAGTATGTCACCGAGTGTCAATGTTCAAGCTACTTTACATGGGAAGAAACTAGAACTAGAAAATAAAAGGGAACAAAAGATTGAAGGTTTATTCCTCAGATCATGAGCAAACTGGGATGAAAATGGAGAAAAATGCTCCCAATACTTTTACAAATTAAAGAAGAGTAATTTAACTAAAAAGACAATGGCTGAATTGATTGATGACCAAGGTAAACATATTTCTAAACAGTCAAGCATTCTTTCTGAACAACAGAATTTTAATGAAAACTCTGCATTCAAGCAGAAGATCTGACAGCGAAGAAAACTCTTTTAATAACCATAATGTTAAACTCACACAGGAACAAAGTGATCTGTGAAACGGTAACTTGACATTTGATGAATGTGCTTTGGCACTGAAACATATGACAAATGGTGAAAGTCCTGGTTCCGTTGGATTTACAGTTGATTTTTATAAAAAAAATTTGGAGAGATCTCGGTCCATTTGTATATCAATCTTTATATTTTGGGTATGAGCATAGAAATTTTTCAAGTTTTCAATATCAGAGTGTCATTACTTGCATTCCAAAAGAAGGAAAAGATAGGAGATATATGAGTAATTGGCGACCCATCAGTTTACTGAATACTGACATTAAAATAGCTTCAGCAGCTATAACTAACAGACTCAAACCAGTATTGCCATTTATCATAAGTGACACTAAGAATGGGTTTATTAAAGATAGGTTTATTGGGGAAAACATTCGCTTATTAT